TGTAATCATTTCACCTTTTTTATAATTGGATATTTATATAATATATCATATCAATATTTGTGATATACACAAGTATTGTATCTTTCGTATATTGCACCAACAAAAAAAATACGCCATGTTTAATAACAAAATACATATATCATGTTAATTACATTATATTATTTATAGTAGTTATTTATAAATTATTTATATTATTATAGAGAAATAAAAAATTAAAAATAAAAAGTTAGAAATTATTAAACTCTTACTATTACTATCTTAAAATTTCCAAATAATTAATACATTAAAGATAAATTATTTTATGCTTTGTTATAGATTTTTTATTTTTTCTATTGCATTTGATGATTTCTATTTAATAATAGACTTTATTATAATTTCCCTTAGATCATACCAATAATATTCTTTGCATTTTTTTCTTTCCATTTACATACATTATATATTGTTGGTATCAATAACCGACAGATTATGTGCCTTTGACACGAAGCTGAAGTAAAAAAATCCAAGATTCTAGAGAAATATCTTTAATATTACATCTCATAATATAAATTCGCCTAATATTAATTTATATAATTTATAGATTGTATCATATTGCAAATAGCTTCGTTCAAATTTTCAATCTCTCGCGCGACGAATTATTGCAAATTATTGTACGTTATTCCAAAAAGTGAGTTTCATATATTTTGTCTTCCTTCTGATCTCTGTTGGACAAAGAATTGTCCAAAGTATTTGCTGTCAGACAACTGTGCCGCTTCGTTGAAACGTGATTATTATTTCCCTCTGTCGTGTCGTCGCAGCGACGAATTTGATCCTCAACGTCGTTTTAATTTATTTTCAATCGCAGGATCCGCCGGAGACGGCGAAGGAGCCCGTGGTCGAGATGGCGTCGTCCAAGGAGAAGGAGGAGAAGCGGAAGGAGAAGGAGCCGGCGAAGGAGGCGAAAGAGACGAAGGAGAAGGTGGAGAAGAAGGGCAAGGACGAGGCGGAGAAGGGAACGGAGAAGGAGAAGAAGGAAGCCGAGCCGAGTTTCGAGATCCTGCAGAATCCGGCTCGCGTGCTAAGGCAGCAGCTGAAGGTGATACAGTTGGCGGAGGGTAGCCATTACGTGACCGTGAAAGACATTCAGATCGGCGGTATCGTGATGGTGAAGCATATCCAGTCGGACACCGAGGAGGAGCTTGTGGAACCGGTGGCTGGTAAGTGGTCAATTTTCCCTAGTAAGTGGACAAAGTTGAAACCGAGAGGTCGATATTATTAACAATTGGCATCGTCGAGGATTGGGAGCCTCGAGATTTCGCTTGATTTTTAACTTAATTCTCCATTTAATATATGATAATTGCTATATTTATTATTCGGTGAAATTATAATTGCCACTTCTGTTGATATAATGTAATAGAGACTGAAACCGGTGAAAAGTATTAATTTTGTAGAGAATTTTATTTTAATTCGATTGTCAATTAATTTTTGTGATACAATAGAAATTTTGTTACAGTCGTTAGTTGACATCATTTAATATAATATAGTCTCTGGTGATAAGCACAATTTCTTGAGAAATTCTTGAGTTTTTGTTTCGTTGTATAATGTATTTTTTTTTTTTTTTTTTTTTTTTTTTTTTTTTTTTTTTTTTTTTTTTTTTGGCCAGTAAGTTTTCGAAAAGAGCAATTAGTCAATGAATATTTGTATTTATCATAATATTAAATTTTAAATGGATATTAATATTTGAATATTAGTATTAATGTTTATCCTCATTCGAATATTAATATCAATGTTTATCTTCATTCGGAGAAAAATTTTTTTGATAACGTATGTTGAGTATGTGACCGAAAATTATTATGTATTTTGAACAAGATGAATGCCATGATGTATGAGTTTTGTCAAACAGCGTTGAAGAAAATGAACGAAGTGAAATTTCAAACATTCCTTTTGAATGAGAAGCGTTTGAGACGATGAAATGGAATTGATTAATTTATGTGGCTTAAAGTGCACCTTTTTCAGATTGTAGCTCCATCATTGTTTTGTTAAACGAATTATCAACGAGTTGAAATTCAATCGACTCGATTAAATAATGATTTCACTTACATACGTTCATTCACACTGAATTATAATGAACTTAACGTTACTACAAATTATTATTGATTCAATATTTAATATCGCAGTTAAAATACAGAGTATTTGCACACTCTACATAACATAGATTAATCAATACATAAACAATTTGTTCCTTTTCTCTTTTCTCATTTAATTTTCAAATTTACAATAAAAAGAACGCCAAATCGAAAATAACAGTGACATCACTTTATTGAATAACTTTTCTTTACAAACAATTCAATTAAGCCATCTCTGTTAACAGGCTTTATTGTCCAGAGTGGCGTTTCAACACTTTCAAAACTAGAATTATTCTGCAATGCATTCGTAAAATAACCAATTTCAAGATTTATTATCCATCGTGAATAACAATAGGCGCACACATTGGCGAACGTATAAAAATGGGAAAAGTCGAACTCCGTTTGATTTCCAATTAATACTCGGCTAATGAAAATTTGAAATTCGTTTTTTTTTTTATTTATGCAGTTGGCTGGTTATAGATTCGCCATACATATACATACATATATATATATATATATGTATGTATATATATAATGTGAGATAAAGTTGAACATCTGTACGTTTATTTCTAATTATAACACGAGCGCAATTTACAAAACTATGAGCATATAAATACAAATTCAACAGATACAAAAAAAGTGTATTCTAAATTTATCGAATTTTTGTCTAATCTGCAAATTATGTGTAGGCTGTTATACAAAAAGGTTAACATTATTATATGGTGTTAAATAAAAAACACAAACTTCCTATTAATAAATTAATAAATTTTCTATTAATAATTGATAATTCAAAGTACGCCAATTTCGATGGTACAGTTTCGTACGATTTCCAAATTTCTCTTTACACTCTCCACACTTTTCACCTGGAAAAGAAAAATTCAAAAAAA